CGGACTAGATGATCTGCTCAGGTCCCTTCCGACCCTAGAAACTATGACTATGAAACTAAGCGTCAGCTTTGTGCCTCATACTGGTTTATGGTGTGCTGACACCGCAAATTGCTAGTCTGAATCCTGCCTCCCTGTGCAGGCCCTGGTTTCATGACACCCGCAGCAGGGCAACAAAGGGCACCATGAAAAGAAAAATGAAGTGAGCGTAGGGCTATTGCTCAAACTTCAAAGTACTGTATGAACAGGGGGAATTTGTGGCACAATGTTTCCAAGATTACAATACTAATGCTCCCTGCAGAGAATACACAACTAAACACTGTTTAGTCATTGAACACTTTCTTTTATTAGGGAAACACTTTAAACACTCAGTACAACATGCACTGGTTCTGTCAAACTGGTCCACGAGGATTTGCAAAGCAGTGCTGCAGCAGCAGAACAAAGTGCCAGTAAATGGATAATGTGAGCATTTCCAGTAGCCTGAAGTCTTGTAATCTGAATTTGCTCATTTTGTTAGCCTTAATACTACCTCATAGTGAACGGTAAGTCGTGATAATGAATAGACTTGTGCTCTACATAATCTGATATTATTCCCAATGTCATAAGACCAATAGCAGATGGGTCAGAAAGACTATCACCACCTGATGAGGAACAGATGATTTTTTCTGCAGATTATAGGAAGCAAGAGAAAACTAGGTAACAGATTAAAGACTAAGTACAAGGAGGACTGCGACTCCTTAAAACACACATACTGCTGTTTATCTAATCACCAACAAATGCCCTTAAAAACAAAAGCTACCTGCACAATGCCAGGCCTGTAAAGGCTTCACTAGCCACAGAAAGTTTCATGGTGCTTCCAGAAATGTCATCTTACCACAAAATTGCAATCTGGAATTTAAAGCTCTTGACCAGATACTTTAAAATTTACCTTTGATTGGGGGGATACAAAAAAGCATTTCAGAAAAGCATTGACCCCATGTGAACCAAAGTCGTTAGTCTTCCAGAGCCTGCTAACTGGCAGAAATAACTATGAATGCAGAAGCTTATACTTCATTGAAATGAAGTCTTAACTATGGAACCACTGGGCACCCCTCAGGCCCCAGGGGAGGCACACCTAGGCCAAGGGTTAGTGAGGAACTAGTTAGGGAACTTCTGGAGGGGCTGGACGTATTCAAGTCAGCTGGTCCAGACGATCTCCACCCTAGAGCATTAAGGGAATTGGCTGTGGTCATTGCAGGACCCCTGGCACAGCTTTACGAGCACTCGTGATGCTCTGGTATGGTACCAGAGGACTGGAAGAGGGCCAATATGGTTCCCATCTTCAAAAAGGGGAGGAA